GCTCCTCCACTGGTTCCCCTCTTACCAGCTCATCCTCGTCTCTGACGTTGAGTCCTTCAATGATCATAGCCTCCTTGAGCTTGACTTCTTTAAGGGAGGCGACATAACATTCTCTAGCCACGGTCTGCTCTTCCCTCACTGTGCCGACCCCAAGATCGGTGGGGAACTTGATGGCAAGGTGGAAAATGGATGTGACAGCCTGGAAAGCATTTAGGGCGGTGCGGCCAAGGATGATGTTGTAGGCAGAGGGGCAGTTGACAACAAGGAAGGCGAACAACTTTATGGTCTGCCGCGGGTACTCGCCGATTGTGATAGGAAGATCGATGGAGCCGATGGAGGTCACCCTGTCACCAGTGAAACCGACCAAAGGGGTTTGGAGAGGAGACAAACTTTCTTCCCCAATCTTGAGCTGGTGGAAGCAGTTGAGGAAGATGATGTCTGAAGAACTGCCGTTGTCGATGAGAACTCGTCTGACCTTGTAATTGGAAAAGAGGGCAGAAATGACGAGAGGGTCGTCATGGGGGTAACGGATGCCTGTGCAGTTGGCGTCCGTAAAGGTGATAGGCTCAGTCCACTGCCTGGGCTGTTTGGAGGGTCGGTCCAATGTGGCAACTTCTTTGTCTGAGCCCTGCCTTATTTTTCTGAGTTCTGCCCGCTAAGCCGAACGGGACGGTCCTCCACAAGCAAGCCCGCCGGAAATAACTCTGATTTCTCCAACAGGTGGGGCAAGGTTACCTTGTGCCCGAGGTTGTTGTGGAGGGCGATCACGGCCTTGGTTAGGCTGTGCTGGTTGTCGGGGAGGGGTGCGCCGGCGGTTGTTTCTGGTGGGTTCAGTCCGTTGCCTCTGCTGAGGGCGAGTATCTGTGAATCGACTGAGATGTCCTTGACGAATCAAGCCCTCAACCTGATCTTTGAAGTTAACACACTCCTCGGTATTATGGTCGTGGTCCTGGTGAAAGCGGCAATATTTGGATTGGTCTCTCCGATTGGAAGGAGTCCATGACAGTTGGAGCCATTTTAGAGGATAGTCTCGCTGGATCTGATTGATGACTTGTTCCATGGGAAAATTGAGGGGTGTGTACCGCTCGAACCAGCCGGTCGGTCGGGCTGGTGCCGACCGGTCGGCTCGGGGTGGTCGGTCATTGTATTGAGGTGTTTGGTGAGTATACTGGGTATTCCTAGTTTCTGAGTCCTTTCTCTTCTCTCTGGAGGTCGGGTTTTTGGCTATTGGGTCTTGTTGGGCTGCTAGTGAATCTTCGACATTCATGTATTTTTGGGCTTTAGAGAGTAGGGTTGCCATAGAGGTCGGGGGGTTTTTTGAGAGGGAGAAAAGGAAATCAGATGACCGTAAATCGGCCATGAAAGCCGTAAGGATGACCTTGTCATCGTTTTCCGCTATCTGCAAGGCTTCGGTGTTGAAACGGGTAACGAAACTACACAGCGACTGCCCCTCGGTCTGACGAATATTGAAGAGTTAGGTTGCTGGGCGTCGTTGGCGCTGGGCTCCAATGAAATGGCTGAGGAAGGAGTCACTGAGGTGCTGGAAAGTAGAGACAGAATCTGCTAGCAGTTGACTAAACCAGAGTCGAGCCGACCCCTTGAGTGTTACGGGGAGAGCCTGACACATGATCTCGTCAGGGAATGCATGGAGGATCATGAGGGTTCTGTAGGTCTCCAAGTGATCGACTGGATCCGTTGTACCGTCGAAAGAGTCGATGGTGGGCATTTTGAACTTGGGGGGTAGAGGTTTGTCCCAGATGGAGGCAACGAACGGCGAGTTGGCCGTGGTATATGGTTTATCCTGTATGTTTTGCATGACTCCTTGGAGCTGGAGGTTCATGGCTCAGAGTTCTGCATCCCAGAGAGGAATGTTGTCACCACCAGAGGGGAGCGGGGGCTGGACGCTACTGGCCTCTCCCTCGGGGGTTGGTACCAGGGCTGATGGGTGCGAGGCCCGGGGTGGCAGGTTTATATCCGGGAGGGGAGCTCGCAAGCCTTCCAAGTTGGGTGGGTTAGGTTGCAGGATAGTATGGCTCGGGGCTCGTTCTTGGTTGGGTGGAATATCTGGAGGTGGTGGAGGAGGCATTGTAAGGTTTCTTTGAAGTAGAGCATTAATCAGGGCTTGGTTTTGCTTGGCCAAACGGTTAATACTGTTGGTGAGTTCGGTGAAATACTATGGTGGGTTATTCGGATTGGGAGGATCGGCTTGATGATCGGGAACATTAGGGTGAGAAGCCATGGATCTAGTTGTGACCATTTCATCTTCACAAGTGGTAGGAGGGGGTTATTGAAAGAGGGTCTCCGGCGACAATGAGCACAACTGGCGCGCGGAACAAAAACGTTTCCCACAGACGGCGCCAACTGATGATACAGCGGGTTCCAAACGGAATAGGTCGAACTAATCCACGCTTCCCAATCCGGAGTTTGGATGACCAAGCCCACAGAGGAACCTGCACAAGAGTTCAATGGGGAACGGGAAGTCCCCCAGTGAACCCTCCAACAAGCAAGTTAGAGAGAGAAGTAGAATTTAGGGATGAATTAATGACAAAAAAGCTTAACCTTCTTCCTGTCTTCGACGTCTGCTTATATCCTCTGGTAATCATTTCGTTGTCCCTTCCGACCTGTCACCTTGGCCGAAAGTCTGTGCTCTAGCTTACCTTGTTCATGGTGAAGGCGTTCCGTCCCAACGGAGAGGGCTGTAAGGGCCTTCATTAATGGCGATGTGCAGTGGCAATAACTTTGCAGATCTTTATCTACTTATGTGGCTTGCCCTTCTCTTGACATGTGTCTTGATGTCATTAGTTCTTATTGCTACGTGGGGCTTCGACAGTGCTGGGCCTTAGTATTTGAGTTGTGTATTGGGCCCTAAATGGTGGGCTATAATCTTTATGGGCTTACCCATGTTAGTATGATACAACGGGTTCCAAACGGAACGGATCGGACTGATCCACGCTTCCCAAGTCGAAGTTCAGATGACCAAGCCCACAGAGGAATCTGCACAAGAGTTCAACGGGGAACAAGAAGTCCCCTAGCGAACCCTCCCACGAGCAAGTTAGAGAGAGAAGTAGAATGTAGGGATGAATTAGAGACAAAAAAGCTTAACCTTCTTCCTGTCTTCGACGTCTGCTTATATCCTCTGGTAATCATTTCGTTGTCCCTTCCGACCTGTCACCTTGGCCGAAAGTCTATGCTCTAACTTACCTTGTTCAGGGTAAAGGCGTTCCGTCCCGACGGAGAGGGCTTGTCGCAATAAATGCTGTAAGGGGCTTCATTAATAGCGATGTGCAGTGGCAATAACTTTGCAGATCTTTGTCTGCTTATGTGGCTTGCCCTTCTCTTGACATGTGTCTTGATGTCATTGGTTTTTATTGCTACATGGGGCTTCGGCAGTGCTGGGCCTTAGCATTTGAGTTGTATATTGAGCCCTAAATGGTGGGGTATAATCTTTATGGACTTACCCATGTCATACTTAAACATATATATGTAAATATATTATGTATTTCAAAATAAAAACATACACACTCTAATGAAGCAATAAAATGCATAATGAAAAATTTTAAAAACATACACGCTCTGTCCACACAAAACCCAAAATATAAAGAAAATTTCCAAGTCCAGCCCAAATTGGCTTGTCAAGCTCAATCCCAAGTTTATCTTGACAAGTTCTAGTTAGGTTTGGGTTGTGTAAAATCAATATAAAAATTATCTCGGATTAACCATATGGAAAAAAAATACTAATTATACATTACATTTTTTTTTTAAATAAAAAAAATTAGAAAGTACAATGTGATGAGAAAAATTTATTCGTGTTCTACTAAGCAATAGATTTTTGAAGAAATTACAAACAAACAAACAAAAAAAAATCAGAATTTGACTCCGTATAATAAAATTAATTTTTAATTTTCTTAAAAGCAATAATCTTTTGATTTATTTTTAATCTAAACCATTCGTCTATTTTTGTGAAGTAAAATTGATAAAAAAAAAAATGGTATTTTTTCTATTAAATTCGAAGTGTATATAAAATGTTCAAAATACCATTTTTTTATATTTTTTTTTGTTCAGTTTAATGGCTAAAATGTCATTTTTGGTCAGTTTTACTTAACAAAAATAGACAAATGATTTAAATTGAAATCAAATCAAAATACTAAGGTTTAAATTGAAAAAATTAAAAATTAAAGATTTATTTTGTTATAAATGTCAAACCATGGAATTTGTTTTGTAATTTTTCCTAATTTTTTTTTTATGTTTATTATGATTTAATATGCATAATTTGTGTTTTTATATACAATTTGGAAATATTAATAATAGAATTTAGGTTGTTTGTAGTTAGGTTCTCACCAAATTTAATTGAGTTACGTGTAACCGACAACCAAGCGAATTTTTCATGTTGTATATTGATTTAACCCAATAGTTGGAAAATGATCAACAATTTATATGCAAATTTGTGTTTATTATCTATAACAGTAATGGTACAGAGCCTGAATATAAGGGCTCGAATTTGGTTCGAAATTAGGGGGAAGAAGGAGGAGGAGGAGGAGGAGGAGGAGGAGGAGAACTGGACTGGAGGGGCCAACAAAATCGGGCAGAGGTGGAGGCGGAGGCGGTGGCGGGCGGAGGCAGAGGTGGAGGCGAGGCTGCGATGCCGACGAGCGACGAGATCGGCCGCCGAGCTGGGACGCCGACGGCCGATGAGCTGGGACGCCGACGAGCTGCGACGACGTCTCTCTCACCTCTGTGTTCTCTCTCTCGCCTCTGTTCAACTCAACGAAGAAGAAGAAAGAAAAGGAAGAAAAGAAAGAAAAGAAAAGGAAGATAAAAAAAAAAAAAAAAAATCAAAAATATCCCTAAAACAACATCATTTTGGGAGTTGCTGAAATTCGAGTCAAATTCGAGACCTCTATCACGACTGATTTATTTAAATCATTCCGACCAACGCAAAGCTATTCGCTGCTAAAAATCCACTGTCCCCAATTTGAAAACCCTGGCATACATAATACAGACACAGAGCAACCTAGAGAGAGAAAATCAAGAGCAACTTTAGAGAGACAGGGAGAGAGAGAGAGAGAGAGAGAGAGAGAATCACAATAATAATGTCAGGCTTCAGATTCTCGTCTTCATCATCTTCAACCCATCAATTCTCTCCATTCTGTTCCACATCATCATCATCATCATCAAATTCAGTCTTCCCTTCGATTTCACCTCCCTCATCTGGCCTGTTTTTCGGCAGTTTCTCTTCAAACCCTAGTAGCTCTTCGACTTCTTTCGCCTTCGGATCGCCCAAATTCACGTCTTCTTCTTCGACTACTACTTCCAACTTGTTTGGATCTGCTACTTTGAGCTCTGTTTCAGCTACTAGCCCCGCAGTTTTTGGGTCTTCTTCTTCGAATTCGATCTCTACTGGTACAAGCGCTGCTCCATTTTTTTCTTCAAACTTGTTTGTATCTTCATCTTCATCTTCATCTTCATCTTCCCCTTCTTTTCCCAATTTGTTTGGGTCGTCTTCTTTTCCTGCGATTTCAGCACCTGCATTCTCGTTTGCAAGTTCTGTATCCAATGCGGGTTCGTCTTCATCAAGCTTCAGTTACACAAACACTCCTGCCAGTTCACATCCTGGTTTTTCACTGTCCACAGAAACATCAGCGCCTGCCTCATCAGGACAACCACAATCTACTGCTGTTGCGCCTCTATTTGGATCTCCTTTTCCCATAGATGGAAGTTGTTCCGCAACATTTCTGGAAGCCAATTTGGGTGACAAAGAGGAAGCGGATGATGGAATGGTGGTGGGTACTACCATTATTCATACTCTGTGCAGGGATAGGCAAATTGTCTGAAAGGCTGTCTAGCTCTTAATAGTCATTCAAAGGTTGCCAATGTTATACAGTGGTCAACAACACAGCCACACAACCACACCCGGCTTTTTCTTTTTTTTTCTTTTTTTTTAAATCCACTTTCAACCCCCACAATCTTTTTTTTAATCAGCCCACTATCTCTCTCTCTGGTCCCTTTTTCTCTCTCTCTACTCAAGGATCCACCACTTTGTCAACTTTCCAACCCCTTCCTTCACCTTTTGCACTCCACTCACCAATTATCTACCGATTCAGGGGACAAAGCATATATATCTTTTATTATTATAATATATTACCCACACTATTATCCTTCACTCACCCTATATCTACTGATTCATCAATATATATATATAATGATTTTTCACAAACCTTTATTTTATTTTATTTTATTTTTTCTCTCTTTCTTTTTCATCAATATCTCAATATTCTACAACTCAGTTGGTGAGCATCATCCTTTTTCCATTCTCTTATTATTTTATTTTATTTTTATTCCACTACAAAAAAAAAAACAACAAAAAAAACCAAAAAAAAAAAAAAAAAAAAACCAATACCCCCCAAAGAAGCCATGGAGCTTAACAAAACCCTATAAAGATGCAACATTTTGTTCAAGGATCCAATCCATGCCTAGCTCTCTCACACATGCAATCAAAACCAGCTTGACCAAGCCGACAATAAAAAACCTCACATATCAGTACCAAAATATAAATTAAGGAATGTGCACAAACAATACATAATAAAATGATGATACAATATATATGTGTTAGTCGATAGCTCAATATTGAGTGAAGGGAGAAGATTTTATTTGAGGGAAATCACGAGAGCCGAATGGGGTAGGATCAGAAGAATTTGTTGAGACTAGACTGAAGGATCTGATTGACGAGTACTCTGTATCCCCTCTCTGTGGGATGGTAGCTGTCCCAGAATACGTACACAGAGTCATCTGGACATGTATCGGTCAATTGGTTACACAATATGCTCACTTCTAAATTCCCTGTCCCACAACACCCTTTATCCGCAACAGAAAACCCTAAAATATTTGAACAACATAACATTAATTGGAATATGGAAACAAAAAAAACATTACTAGATTAAACCAGGCATGATATATACTCAAGGCCGACCCTAAGGTGAGGCGACTAAGGCGGTCGTCTCAGGCCCCCAATTTTGAACAAAATTTAGGGCCCCTAACTAGGGGAGTGTATCATATCGTATTATTTCCTAATTACTTCAATATTAGCTCAATTCATTTATTTTCATGTTGTCGAATGGTGTTATTTTGATTCGTGTCCGATTGATATTTAATGTAAAAACTTTCACTTTTAGTTAAAAATAACTTACCAAGTGTATGGAGAGATTAAAATTTTTTTCATAAGTTAAAATTTATAAAATTTATTTCTACTAAATGAAATTATTCATAGAATGTTTGATTTTAATTCAATTGCATTTTTCTAATTAAAATAATTGTACCTTATTACTATATATTTTTTACTAGATTGACTCTAAAATAGGTAACAAAAAAATATATATTCTAAATGAAAAAAGATATTAGCCTTAATTATTATTTTACATACTTTTTGATTTAATTAGATGGAATTAAATAAAAGATTAAAAAAATATCATGGCATTCTTTAGTGAACATTAAAATATATAACTAATAATTCATATTATTGAATCGTGTCATACTTGGATTCATGTTGAAAAATAGTCTACCCTAACTTGCTAATTTTATATATTACTTGAATTGTGTCGAAAATTCTTATCCTTACCCCCAATTAATTTTAGTTATTATAGCATTGGTAAGTTAAAAAATAAAGATTCGATTCAACTAATTGAAATTCAACTATTTTATATATGTATGTTGTCTAAATTTTGTTAAATTGTAATGCAATAGAAATAAATTTTTATTATTTTTGTTCTATCCAAACAAATTTTTTTTTTTTTTTGGGGTAATGATATATGAAGGGTCCAATTTAAGAAATTCACCTTTGCCCCCTAATAACTAAGGTATGGCCCTGTATTTACTTCTGTTGCATGGTTTCTTCTTGATTTGTCTTGAATTTAATTTGAATGGCACTTAATAGTATTAGTTGAATCCTTATACATAATTGGTTATTATGGGGTTTCACGATTTCATGGTCTTGACGGAATTTGTACACAGATTGTAATAAGAGAGCCAACTCATTATATTCTCCATTTTCATAATGAGATTCGTCTGCTATTCTTCGATTGTGGAAGCCTTAAGCCAAACAAATTATTGTGTGTATATTTGTTTATATTAACTAGACACAAAGGCATGGATTTCACTTGCATATTTATCTTACCATTAAGACGCAAAGACAGTAGAATCCACATTAACACAAACGTTTTGGAGAGAAAGCAGCAAATAGTAGATGGGGATTACCATATTTGTCATGATTTAGGATGATATTAAGCAGAGGATTGTAAATATCAGTGTAGACAATCCTGGCTTTAGGGTCATTGAGACTGTTGTTGTAGGAAGTAATAGCAGAAGAGAGCTTGGAGTTCATCAACTGAGCAGCCTGGTTGTATATCTCAGAACACACTCTCAATTCTCCCCCTGCTAGTGTTCTCTGTGACGGCAAGCATCCTATTGGTGCTGCCCCGAATAAACCAATCTTTTTCGCCCCCAGTAGATAAAGTTCCTTTATAAAAAAAAATCACAACTTTAAATTCTCAATTTTCATGCTTTTGATTATCATTAGCAATAAAGCGTGTGTGAGTATGAACAAAAATACTTAAAACTATAAATGACACATCTTATAAGTTGTAACCAAAAGATGAATGTACTTCAGGTCATGAAAATGTTTGATTACCAACTTTTCTAAACAAGAAAAGAAAATAAGAAGAGGGAATACCTTAACAAAATCCGAAGCATAATTGACGACAAGATTAGTGTAAGAATTAATATCGTACTGGCTGCAATTTGGCTGATGAAAGTAATATGTGTGTAGCGAATGTCTCAACTCCTGAAAACAATAGAAAGTTCTTGTAGTTGTTCTCGTCTTCTCACATAGACTTCAGTCCGAATCGTATCTTGATGAACAATTTAGTGATCCGAATCGTAGAAATGACTAATTTAATTAAGAACCAAATAAATTATTAAATGAAGTATAAAGATAAAATATATAGAATATAAATAAAATAGCATATATATTGTATCCAGGCGTTGAGGTTCAAAACAAAGGTGTTAAAGAGAAAAAGAAGCTACACTATGAGCGACTCACTAGGATGCAAATGTGACTAGAATACGGTATACTCTTTTATTCTATTGATCACGCACAAATAATAATAACAATAATCTGAAAATTAAGTTATTACATATTATTGGATGTTGGAGTTAGATGTTAATTAATAAATGAGCTGAGTCTGCTTAACATATAAACTGATCCGCCTTCTCATAGTCTGTAACAATGACAGACCATACTGGCATCTACTTGCATATTAGGTAATTATAATCATTGGATTGTTGTTTGGTATGTACTTTAATAAGAAATATTTAATGTGAAATAGAATAATCTTGTTTTTTGGGGGGTTGGATGAGAATATTCGAGGATTTTTAAAAGTATTTAATAATAAGAAATTTTTGATATATAGTTAATTATAATATCAAATATATCTTTTACTTTTTTATTAAAAATGTTATTATTACTACGACCACAAGTGTAAATCCAAATAAAAAAAAAAGATTGTTTCCTTGGGATCTACGAAACGATTGAGTTAGAAGCCAAAGTAGATGGTTTTGTGGGCTTCGAAGCAGATTATCTGGCTTTGAGCTTAGTCAGTTTATAGTTTGCCCGGTTCTGATGCTTCGAAATACCTAAGTTTTAACGGCAGTTTTTTTTTTATTTGTTTGTTTGAATTATAATCAGCTGCAGCAATAAGGGGTTGTTCGCGATGCAATTCTTTGCAGGCGTTTTGCGTTCGGTTTGAACTGCCCGTTGCCGATTTGGGAAAGAGTCAACGCAACCGCTCGCAGTGCGATTTGAGTTGTGAGTGCGGCGCGCTAGGGTGTTGGCCAAATGTGCGGCGTTTGCGGTTTACACTGTTTTGTTAAAAAATTATTTCTTGATTTTTTTTCCCATAAAATTTAGGCATCAAATCATTGTATATATTGTGATAGACAATTTTTGAGAGTTCAAATAAAAATTGATATCAATGCATTAAATGAAAGTACGCAAAATAAAGAGACCCTAACTACGGCATTTTGCAATGAAAGTATACAATGCGTTTAAAGGTCTTCCCAATTAGAATTGAAGATTCAGTATCAATATAAGTAGATGGCATCTGACCACAGAAGGAAATTTCTTATTAGAAAAGTGGATGATTCCAATGACAAATCATA